TATGTTTACATTCTCATTAGTGTAAATTTCAACGTTTGGCCAGTTTTTTCAGACGAATTTTCCTTCTACTCTTTTTCAGTATCGGCTCAGCTCCATTTTTCTCATTTTTCTTCTATATTTTTTCTTATTTTTCATTATATTTTTTGGCTTCTCTTATTCCTTATTTTTGTTTTCTTTTTTGTCTTTTTTTCAAATGTGTTTTTTTAGTTTCGTGAACTTTCCTAAATTCACGTTTTTTTCTAAATTTTATTATTCCGTCTAATCCAAATTAATTCTGTAACTTTAGTATAATTTTAGTACAAAATTATACTAAAGCTGCAACAATTAATTAGAATTGAAGGGTGTAACATTCTTTCTAATTTACAAACTTCTTTAAATTTATGTGAACGTTTCTTGAATTATGATTTTTTTTCCAAAACCTGTGAACTTTTCCTCAAATCTGCGGTCTTTTTCTGAAATAAGAACTTATCTTAATTTTTGTGACCTCTCGTCAAATTACGAACTTTTTCCAAAGCCTGTGAACTTTTTTCAAATGCATGAATGTTTCCAAATCCATGAACTTTTTGTCAAAATCCGCATACTTTTTTTTCAAAATCCATGAACTTTTTTCCATTCATATGTTTTCAAAATCCATGATCTTTTTCAAAATTTTGATTTATTTAAAAAATGAGTTTTTTTAAAAAATTTGGTCTTAAAAAAAATCAATTGTTCAAATTTTCTCAAGAAATTCACGGTCAACCAGTCCGTCTGGCAACCCATCAATGGTCCATCTATCAAAGCAGGCGTAACACCCAAGCTCGGGCGCGAGCGTTTAAGGCGCTTGTTAGCTTTAACTGTATGCGGTGCCCTGCGCTAGTTCCTGTATGGGCTGACTAACGTTTTTTTCTCACGCATTTTTCCGGTGCGAGTTTTCTCTGGCTAGACTGGTCTCATAGATCAATATTGCTTTTTCCTACGCACTTTGTCCTTACTCGTGGGTACCCAGGAATAACTTCATGGTCAGGAACCTATCCTGAATTTACTCCAAGCTGAGCATGCATAACTTCAGAGCTCTTTTTGAACGAGCTTCCGAAAAAGAAGAAATTCCTTATTGATATGAATAGTCCATCATCCCTATTAAGCCAGCCTATCACATACACCCCCACTCAGAGAAACCAACGTCCTCGACGGGGAACATGAACGTTCCCTCTTGGCATATACGTCTGTGCGAGCACTCTGGTACATGTGTCATGTTGTGTGCCACGATGGGTCACAAATGTCATGCACAACATGACTGCGCACCTGACCCGCAAACATCCGTGTAACCGCGAGGGTCGGCTCTGAGACCAACTTGTAATGCCCCAGTCTCGGGGGCTACTACATTGACGATTCAATGCAAAAAAATCAGTGTGCAATATGGTTTCCGAGGAGATTACGATCCTCAGATTGGTCAGCCGAACCCAACCTGGGTCTCAGAGGCTACTGCACACCGCGTTTCTATTCCTAAAGTATATATGCTACCGAGCAAGGAGTTGATCCTCAGGCCGATTTTGTGAATCGACATGAGTCTCATGGGCTACTGGGATCAACGGTTTCATTTTATCCTTCAGGTGCATCCCGGATTTTAGACCGACACGCACCTTGAGGGCTACTGGCTATACATCTCGACAGTAAATAAATTACACCGATCAGAAATAAATTCCACAAAAAATCAATGGCGTACCACCTCGGAAGCAGCGCCGCATGAAGCTCTGATGCAAGTGAC